CTGGTTCTTCTAAACCATAAGCAGTTTCAACTACATGGAACTAAATAATCCTTCAGAGTAGAACCACAAACGACATAAACTTGGATGTGTGTCCGTAAACCCTAGGATCGTGATTGATAGATGAAAATGAAATTTGACGAACAGCGAAGACGAAGAAGAAGCGATGTAGAGGTGCTGAGAGCGAGAAGATCGGAGATGGAATCCACGACATATCAAAATGGCTAAATGTCAATCAGAGAAATCAGATATAGGAAAGTACCTAAGTAGCAGATCGCGGAGATGTTTGGTTCAGAAACAAAAATGGTGTTTGTGAGCCCTAATCGATAGGGAAAGAGAATCACAGAGAAAAGGGCTAAATTCCCTGACGCATAATATTTGAGGGATGAGGAAAGCCGAACGCAGTCTTTTCCCCTCCCCTCCGTTTTATGATTGGAGCATCTTCTGAAATTATTTTAAATTTGTTACTTAAAAAACTGCAAATGACAATGACAATTGTTTGTTCAAATAGATAAAAAAAAATAATAATAATAAATAAATAAAATATTTTGTCTACACTCAGCTGATTAAAACATAATTTCGATATTCACCAAACATTTTCCATTACATGTTTACATTCTTTAACGAATAATATTAATAAAGGTATGCCCTATCTATTATTGGTGGTAATCCCCACCCTACAAACATCATTGAACATATGTCATTTCGATTAGAGTTTTTCTTTCTTTTTTCTATTGGGTATAATAAATTGTAGTATGTCATTTGATTTCGAGTTAAATATTCTAACATTGGTTATCTTTACTTCCTTTCATTATATTTTGTGTCTCAACTATTAGATGGTTTTAATTTGACACCGCATCAATACTACTTAAAATATTGTTCTTGATTTTTTGCTATATATAAAACTCACTATCTATTGTAGTTTAGAAAATACATGGCTATTTGATCTCACTAAAGTTTAACTTGTTTTTTTAGTGAAATTGTCTATGATTTTTAATCTCATTTTTCTTAAATATACCGAATGGGTTCTAAATTCTCTACACTCGCCTTTAAGAGGCTCAATTTTATCATTTATGAATTAGACATTTTCAATTAGATTCTTCAAAAAAATAAAATAAAATCTTTAAAATTTACAACAAAAAATTTATTGTGTTAGTAAATTATTGTTTCATTGACATATTTGAACAGTTAGACATGCTACTAGTAATTAATTGATTAATTGTCAATCTAAGCATAACTTAAGACATCTATCTCAGATCATTCGGATCTCCACCCATGCATGTTACTAAAAATAATAATAATAATAAATCAATTTATTCAATGATGATATATTTTTTTAGTACAACATGTGGAGGTGTGGATTTGAACTCATGACCTTGTGGTCGTAGATTTGTGCCCAAACCAATCAAGTTATGCGCTGGTTAGTCAATGATGTATTTATTAACGAATATGTTGAGTTTCACATGTAAGGAGCATATGAGTAACATATCTATATGTTAAATTATTTGATAAAATAATCATTTAATAATGCATTAAAGGTAAGATTGAGAACTTAAAAAATATAGTCAAAATAAAAAATGAATTATTTATTTTAATGATATTTCATATTAATTAATTTTATCCAATTCCATTCTGGATCAGTACACTATAAATATTTGGATAACAAATTTTTACTATCCCCAAACTAATAAGAACCAACCTTGTTTAATACAATCATAAAATATCTCTAAACTTAACAATGTTAAACCTAATCTTTTGCCTACATAATCAAATCAACCTTGCTTGAGTTTACTTCAAGTGTTCTTTTAAGAAGATATTAAAAGTATTTATATTTCTCCGAAACAATTAAATTAGCCTGCAAGTTTAAAGGCCACATTTATTTATATTACAATAAAGAACGTATAAACTCCCACTTCTCTGTACACGTCTCTGTAGATAAAACCCCATTTGAAAGATTTTCCCTACAAAGAATTCCACAATATTTATTATTAATTAATAAACATTTAAAGTTCTCAACCTAGACCCAAATAATTATGAAAACTCTCAACTAAAACCCTCAAATAAAGTCTATGCTCTAATAATTATAAAAATTCTAAATTAACATCCTCAAATAAAGTCAAAACGAGCATAACGCAATGATAATTAACATACACCTCAATTCACCAAATGTTAATTGACATACACCTCACTCAATGATAATTGACATCCTCATGAAGAGAATTCCCTCCTCTGTACTAAAAAAAAACCCAAATAAAATGTTAAAATTTCTCAACAATTTCGAACTTGCTGAACCCATTTAACAATAAAGGTAGAAGTTAAGGACTCCATTTCTTTTTTTTAATTATTTATTATTCTTTACAATAAAACGATATCTTTTACATATATTTTAGAAAATTGTGAAAATTGAAACACAAAACAAGAAGCTTTATTTTATCATTTCTAGAATTTCAGTACAATTTTTAGATCGTTTCTAAAAATAAGAAAAAAAAACATAAATAGTTGTCAAATACTTAAATTTCTCACTGAAACTATAAGAAACAAAAAAACATAAAAATAGTTGTCAACTGCTTAAATTTCTCAATAAAGCTAAAATAAAAAACAAGAACACTTTTAACAGGCCCTAAATGACCCCTACTTCACTCGACAAACAAACGGGCGAGCAATTAATCAATGGAGGGTGTTCAACTATATCATGTAAAGTTTGTAAACTAACGGGGGAAAGAAATCACTAAATCGGCTCATTACAAAATACAATTACAAGGGCCTACGTAATTGATTGCAATTACCAATTTAACAAAACATTAATTCTACAAACAGAACTAAGGCTAACAACAGAAAAATCCACAAATTACCTTTACATGTAAAAAGGAAAAAAAAAACTAATGTTGCGGTAGAACCGGTCTCTTTTCTAACATCTCGTAATGGAGGACGAAATTATCCTGAAGCCAATGGACGAAATATGAGGAATGGAATGATACATTGGTAATATAAATAAATACTTTAAAGGAAAACTACTGAAAAAGTGCAAACCTTGCGCACAGTTTCAAATGTGTTTGGGTCGAAACAGTGATACGATCCTCTTTCGTAAGTGCTCGTCTTCACAAGTGGTTCCATGTTAGAGACCCGAATGAACCAGAATCGATGTTCTTTGTGATAAAACCAGCCTCTATTATAACTACGAAAAGAAAAAAAAGAAAAAAAAAAGGTTGGCAACGGCTCATAGGAAAAAGTTTATCCATAAATTACTTCTATAACTTCGGTGAAAATAACAAACAGCACAGTATGTCAATGATAAGAGCTTACAGTTCATTTGCAGCATACAACTGAGCTTCATCTTTTGGCATGCTGCAAAACAAGACGGAGAAGAACCATATATAATAAAACATTCACAGGATACAAATGAATGGAAAAGAAATGGTAAAATTATTTAATAATATCACACCTGAAAAATATATAAAACAGTGTCTCCAGCCTGAATTTTGAGAAGTACCCTTGCTGCAGTCACCCAAAAAACGATCAGTTAACAAGAAACTGTAGAAAGCTTCACATAGACTGGGAGAGGAAGGAGAGGTGAAGAAGCTCACATGTAGAGTAGGAGGTGGTTTAATAAGATAACACTGAGGTACATTGAAATCTGGATCGCCCTTAGCAGGCTCATCAGACCATGGGGACCCAAAAGTCTTGTGAAGATTATCTGCTGAATTCAAATTTAATCCTAATGTGGTCAAATCAATTCCAAGTGCGAGGGATGCGAGATCAGGATCACTCAACCTTATTACACTTAACAAACCAAGTAAACCAAATGGATCAGGAGAAGATTGAGCCGCCTGCATAGATTTCATGCCCTGATCCCTAAAYGACTGGCTAACGCCAGACATATGTTGCAATCGGAACTGCGATTGACCATGATGCTGCTGATACTGCTGGATAAGTTGGTCATAACTCATTCCAGAAGCTGAATTAGGAGAGTTCAGGGGTCTTAAACCAATTCCAGGAGGTCCACTAGACTGAACAAGAACAAACAAACATYGATATTGAAAAACTTMAAYRGGGATGACATTTAAGACATATAAGCTACTAATTGATCATCTACAAAGCAAACCCGTTAAATTCTTATAATACATGGTAACAATTGGACAAGAAATAAAAAGTCTGAGCAATAGGTTGATTCYTTGYGCTTGCAGAATGAGAAATAAAAMTGCGAGGGATAAAAATTTAACCTCCTACAGTAATACAATTGCACACCTGCTGGTGATAGGATGCAGCATGTGAAGATGGGAAAATATCGGATCCATGTAAATGAAGAAGATCCTGATTATTTCCAGGTGAAAASGAGACCGTGCTGTTACTAACTGCAGGAGAATGCTGCTGCTGCTGCTGCTGGGGTCGATGTGAATATGTGCTCCCTAAGTTAAATCCAGCAGACCTTCCAATCTTAAAAACAAAACAGCAATGGAAAAAATGATTAGTAGCCAATAAAAAAATGGGGATAGTCAGCAGAAGAGAGAGTAAAAAGTGTTCCCACAGAGAACTGCTGAGACTGCAYCATAGGCACAGAATTTTCATGTTGTTCTGTCTGATGAATATCCATACCATAATCAGCATTGCCACCTGCACAAGATCTAGAACTATAATCAATGATAGATAGTGTCTCGTTTTATATTCGAAGCAAGCACAAGGGTTAATGTGTTTTACATGTGGAGATGAATTTAGAATCCAAGCAGATAACATAAAAACAATCCAGGACTCTCCATGAAGTAGAACCAGAGCTTAACAATTGCAATGGCCTACTTGAGTAACCAAAATCTGAAATTCTACTTAATCTGTTGAGCTATAAATCATGGTCAACTAGGACATTTCCAGACAATAGTTCTCCAAAATTATTGTACTTATTCTATGAAAATGATAGGAGCAGAAGGCAGCARCCAARGTTGTGGTATATGATTTACATGAATACAAMCTACTGGAAGCAACGAAGRGMTTKGCACCTTTAAATCTCGGCAAGGCTGGAAAATCTTCATTYTGAATGCTGAACTCCTGGTTTTGTTGGACAATAGGACTAAGGCCTTGCTTTCTCAGCGAACCTGAAACAATTACATGAAATTCCTAAAGGTCAAAGTAGGTACAGAGGAAAAGTAAACAAAATTAAAAAACCCCAACAATATCCAGTTACTAACTTAATTGCCCTTGAGGCCCTCCTGCAGAACTTGGACGACTAGACARCTGAGGAAAATCATTGATGTCAAAAGGAGAATTGTCATTGGAGTTSACATCATTCAACATTCCCAGAGAACTCAGACTATTCACACTCTGTATATGGTTTTGGGAAAGTGGTCCTCCAGCAGTAGGATAAGAACTACCCAACATAGAAATAACCTGTTGAGATCCTGAAGCAAGAAAATGTCATCARCGGCAAAATAGCATAGAACATTGTTAACTACAAAGTAGCATTTATACAGAGACGTGTATATATAAAAAAAGCATAATCATGAATGCATTTCCATTTTTCAGTGAGTAGAGCATCATGTATAAGATATTTGTAGGAAAAATGTAAAAAAAGCACATCCATGGAGAGAATGACCGMACTTCAGAACATGCAACTTAATCATAAATAACCAATACATCGAATAAATATGAATATCGAATAAAATGGAACAAGGAAACAAAGTAAAGTGAGTAACTAGTTTCCATKTTGCATGCCACTCTTTCAAACGGAACAAGATGATTAATTTTTAGACTAACATCTACTATGATCTTTTCTACTTTAGAGAAAAAAGAGTACAAGAGGGAGGATATAACATTTTCCCGCTAGATAATGACTAGTTAGCACTAAATTATGCAGGAAAGAAATAGTTGTTCAGCAGTTAATGAATGGGAAATTCATTTGTAAAGGTTGACACCATTACTGTAAGACACATCTACATACCGGCCCGAAAGCAGTGATCAGAGAACCAAGTACAGACTAATAATATTACTGAGACGTTGGACAGTGTACATAAATATGAGCACTCATACAGAAAGTCAAGGAACTGTACCTTGTGGAAGAACACCACCCATTAAACGGTTTTGTCCTTGCACAGTTAAACTTCCAGATCCACTATTTGCACTAATGTTTAGACGAGAAGCAAGACCAGGTAATGACAATCCCCCACCAGAAGTTATACTCCTTCCTATGTTGCCTCCACTTACCATATTCCCCATTGAACTTGTGATACGAGTACCCGCATTTCCCAAAATCGGGGACACMCCCAATCCTGGAACAGCATTTCGATTACCAATAGCTGCAGAAGTAGACAAAATCCCAGGAATAGAACCSCCAACTGCATTTGTGCTGCTACTAAATCCAGGGTTTCCTACAACATTTATAMCTCCTCTATTTGCGACTCCTGAGTGCCCATGAGAGCTGCCGTGAGACAACTACAGAAGAGAAGAAACGGTAAAAATGGAGAGGAAGCAGATAAACAATTATATTGGCCTGTGAGAGGAAAATATTAGGATTCTGCCTCTGTTGCTTCTAGTTCTTTTAAAGATGTCGTTTAACAGTCAAATATAATTTTAGGACTTGGAAAAATCCAATAACAGGAACATTATGATTCATTATCCAATTAGTAAAGCAGCTCTCAATCACCTTTTCTTCAATAAAGTTGTTCAAGAGTACATGTCTTCTTCTATAATAATTACAACAGTTCTTCAAAAATATTTATAAACAAGTGTACTTTTATTTGCTAAACGTTATCATGCAAGAGCTAGTTTTTTGTGACCTGACCACAATAAACAGCACTCAAATAAACTACAGGAAAACTGGTGCTAAGAATCACACTCAATAAACACGGCATTGAATTATAAACAAATGGCCTGCCCTTGAAAAATACCWGAGAAAGAGCAACAGGAAGGTTGTTTGATGCAAAACGCCCACTTGATAGTGTTCCAGTAGGTTGCTGCACCCCACCAGATGGAACATTATTTATCGTTGAATTTCTTGAAGTTAGTGCACCTGACATGTTTTGAACATTGAAGCTCCCATGTATGTTATGCAGCCCTTGAATAGTTCCTGAAAATCGAGACCTATAAGTTTCATAAATTTGAACAAAAACTATTAAAACTCTAGGAAAATGCACCCACCAGTGTGATGGAAAACAGGAGAGGCTGCACCAGACTGACCAGAAAATGAGGCAGTAAAAGATCGTCCACTGCCATCTGGAAGATTTGAAGCTGATCCACTAAGAGATGACTGCAAAGAACAAAATCTTTGGCAATTAAAAAATCATGTTTTCGCGTGAAATTTTGAACTTGAAGCACAAAATTTGGCAGTAGAATTATAATACTACGTCCAAATAAGTTCACACACAAAGGCACGTGCTTGTGTTGTTGATTATTATAAAAATAAGATTAAATAACCTAGATCAACTAGAAATGAGAATTATGGATTCAATAAGAATAGAATTTGAACAATCAAAAGAACTGCATTCTTATCTAACAAAAAATTCTCGAACCAATTAAAATTAAAATCCTAACTAGAGGTATTAGACAAAAAAGATTAATTAATTAATGAGATTTCTTGGCTTCCGAAAATTCATGCAACAAGTTCCCGGAATTATAAGTGAAAGGGAATCACATAAGGCAATGAGAGTATCTCTAGTAAGCTCAAATAAATAGTATGTAGCACAACTCAATGCACATGTCACAGTGCAATCATAGACGTATAGAAATGCAGATAGCTGACAATACATTGAGTAAACCCGACATGGCATGAGGTGAGCATAAAAGTTTTATGCAAATTTCATTCCTTCGCCGAAAACAGCCGTTCCAGTCTTTGGGGAGCCAAAAGATAGAGAAGCTATTTGAAAAGCTTTATTGCAAATCAAAATTACAGCCTGAAAATAACAGTATATTAGAAGAGTAACCCAGAAGTAAGATCAAAATACCAAAAATAAACCTGATCAGGCATAGTCAATAGAGTATGAAAAACAAGGAGTTCAGATATGCTTCAAGGCTCAATCATATAACCATTCCCTTGCTGACTCAAAAAGTCAAGCACAAGTCCCAGGCCGCTTTAAGAACTGAGTTTCCTTTTGTCGTCTCGCATTTTGTTCAAGTCACTGGAGTCTAGGCGGCTTCTAAAACTAAGATTTGCAGCAGGAGAAATAGGGTGGAAAYGAAAATTATTAGATCCAATTCCAAACCTTCATAAGAAAACCACAGGTTTAACCTGGGAGAAGGTCCGTAGAACTCCTAAAAGTGACGTGCGACTGAGTTCAAGCCATAATGTAACCTATCAGTAGTTTCCTAAGGGATTGCATGTTAAAAAGCGGCCTCGACATGGATACTCTCATTTATCTTCCATAGACAAATACGATATCGCCGTCCATATACGGACATAACTAAACTAAATCTATCTATTCAAAAGTGCATGTTCAGAAACTTCAAGCGAAACATGGGGAGGTCCAGAAATAGATATAGTTATATTAGACTCGGTCAGTGAATGTCTCTCCCAGAAAGTGAATCGTAAACGTTTGCTCCTGTGGCCAAACTGTACCTGGACTGGTTCTTCTAAACCATAAGCAGTTTCAACTACATGGAACTAAATAATCCTTCAGAGTAGAACCACAAACGACATAAACTTGGATGTGTGTCCGGAAACCCTAGGATCGCGATTGATAGATGAAAATGAAATTTGACGAACAGCGAAGACGAAGAAGAAGCGATGTAGAGGTGCTGAGAGCGAGAAGATCGGAGATCGAATCCACGACATATCAAAATGGCTAAATGTCAATCAGAGAAATCAGAGATAGGAAAGTACCTGGGTAGCAGATCGCGGAGATGTCTGATTCAGAAACAAAAATGATTTTTGTGAGCCCTAATCGGAAGAGAGAGGAAAAGAGAATCACAGAGAAGAGGGCTAAATTCCCTGACGCATAATATTTGAAGGATGAGGAAAGTCGATCACCGGTCTAGCGAAATTGACACAAATAACCTCAAAAGTTTTTGGAACTGGTTATTGATTTCACAAATAACCCACCCGTTGACCATGTTCAAATCACCTCTTTCAATATCTTACTTTAATATTTAATTGAATTTAAATTGGTACAAAATTACACTATTATCCCTCGGTTCAAAAATCACTTTGAACATTAGAGCTTCAATTGTCAACTCTATTTAAGAATTCAATGTTTGGTTTTTTCGTCGATTACGTTTTTCGGTGTTTGGATAAACGAATACATGAATAATATTGCATCAATTTAGGTTTTGTTTCTCGTGTATTTCATGTTTCGAAAAATATGAAAACCGATTACTGTTTGGTACATTCTTTGTTCTTGATTAGTGTATTTTTATGTCGATATGGTCTCTCTATGTGAGGGTGTAAGGTTTTTGAAATATGCATGTTGGAGGTTTATTTGAAATGTTTGAGGTGGTATGTTGGGAGGTTGAAGAAGAAGTGCTCCTATCATTTTTCCCAGGTTCGACCTGGATGAGGTTGAGCCCAACGTATTCGAAAGACGTTGAACCTCGAGGTTACCTCAAGGTAACATGGTAACCTCGAGGTTGGACATCTTTCAAATACCTCGGGCTCGCTCAATGTAACCTTGACGTTAAGCCCTTAAAAAAGTTTAGATTTTGGTCAAATGACCTAAGTATGGAAAAATTCACTGTCCTGACTTAAACTAACTTTTTATTTATTTGCAAACAATGTGAAATTACAAGGAAGTCCATTGAGACCATTACACTCATCTTTTATCTTTCTTGCACCTCAGGATCTCCAATTTTCTAAATTTTTTAGGATAAGAACACATTTTCCTAAGACTACCAGTTTTCTAGGAACTTTTGTTGCCATAGTTTGTCTGCAGTTTTAAATCTGAGATAATTTGATTTCATTGATTTATCGATTAATTCAATTATCTTGGTCCTGACATTATTATAAGCAAAACGATTTGTTTTCTTCGATTGATAGTTTATGTTGAGTGCCGACGACTGGCGATTGAAGGGTTTAGTTTTGATTCAGGGAGCTCGAGGGGAATTTTTGATATGAGGATTTGGGTACTCGATTGCAAGCGAATTAGAAGAGAGTGAGATGGAGAGAAGGGAGGGAGAAATGGTTGGAGAAATCCCTTCGAATTCCAGGCAGAAAATAAGAGGAAAAAAGTCATAAATAGTTACATTTAAAATCAGGGATATGATGGTAGTTTTACATTCTTTTATTATTTTTTTAAATTATCACCTAGGTCAGAAAAAGTGAACTTTCCAATTGTACGTTATTTGAGCAAAGCCTAAACATTTTCAGGTCACATGAGTCAATTTCTCAACTGATATAATATTTAAAAGGATGAGGAAAGCCGACATGCGATCGCGGTGCAACAAAACGCAGTCTTCGCCCTTCCCCTCTGTTTTGCGATTGGAGGATTTTTGTGGACCTAATATGCCTTTCTCGGCATCTTTTTAACTTTGTTTTACCAATTTTCTTGAATTTGTCAAATCACTCTAAAAATCCAAACAAATTCTCAATAGTTATTCGTAAAATTTTACCAAAAATATGGTATTTTTTTTAGGTGCTAGTAGTTACGTGGGGTGAAGATTTTAACTCACCATTTATTTATCTAATTTAGCATTGTTCAAGTTGATAGTGGACTTGCAAGTTTAACTTTTGAATTTTAGAGAAAATATCGATTGGATTTGTGGAGGGAGAAATCTGAACCGGATACATGTCTGAGTGTTGAGGGTGATAGCGAGGCATGAGACCACAAGCGAATAGAAACATACGTTATGCGTGCGTACGAGTGTGTCACTACCAGAGTTGTACGGGGAAAACGAAGGGGGTTGGTAGAGGTGGACAAGCTAGCAGACGGAGGTACCACCCACCAAGTGTCGGAGATGTTCGTCCTTACCCATCTGAATCCCGTACTGTCCGACATGGCCCTTCACCCAAAATTGTCGTCCTCCTTAGTCAGTCACCTACGCCTATAAAAGAAGAAGACTCCATCACTATCAAGTGAAAGTTTTGTCACTAAAAACACTTAAAGGTGTCCACTCCTATCATTTTATTCTGATTACTGACTTCATTGTCATAGTGCATTAGGTGAGACACCGCACCGACGTCGAGTTTTCAAGTTGTTGACTCATTTACTTTTCAGGAGGACACGTAAACCTCGTCAAAACTTGCCATCAACAAAATTAAATAATATTTCAATAGGTGCAAGTATGAAAATGAAGTAAATAATAACGTTATATTACTGATTAATTAATATAAAAATCAATAGAATATTAGAGAAATTTTGAAAATTTAAAAAGTAGCATAACTCAAATCCAACTTAGATATAAATGTAATACATATGCATTAAATCTAATTATTTACCTACCAAATCAACCTTGTCTGAAGTTTACTTAATTGCTAATTTAAAGGAGATATATAATATTTATCTTTTTCGCGGCCACAATTAAATATCTCTGCAAGTCTAAAAGCTACACGTTGCATTTATATTACAATCAATGAATTATTGAACAACAATTGACGGGCCGAGTAAATTAAACTCCCGACCGGCCCACGAGTACCATCACCGGCCCACGAGTCTCCTCAAATACAAATTAAAGGGAAAAAAATTAAGGAAAGAAAAAACAGAGCCACAGACTACGTAGACTGTGGCAAAATTTTACATTATAACCCTTTATATTATTGTTTATATTTATAATATTTTCATACCAAATAACTTTTAAATTTGTATCCTCTTATAAATTTAAAAAATTATTTAAAAGTTTACAAAATTTCAAGTCTGTGTTGGATAAGTTAATGAGTTTTAAGAAATGTTCAATAACTCACTGTATCTTGTAGATTATTTAATACATAAGCTAACTTCTAAAAATTTAAAAAAAAGTAGTTCTCAAAAACTTAATTTTGTTTTCTGAAAATTTACTAACAATCCAAATATATATATCTTTTTAAGAAATATAAAAACACATTAAAAAAATTGTAAGCAAACGGGCATAGTTCTAAAAAGAATAGAAAACTGGAAACGAAAGAGTCATCAACCGAGCCTAAATTTATAATTTAACATAATTTTTTTAATGGCCAACATATCTATATTAATAGAGTTCTATCTCAAAATCAATAAAGGTTAACAAAAAAAAACTCACATATCTTATAAACTTTGTTACTTCATCGAGGTGAAATCCTTAACTTGAGAAATTCCTCTCATCCATTTTTTGGTTTGCTTTTAAAGACGCACCATGAATCTCGCAATACAGCAAATTAGGATCCGTTTAGTTGAAGATTATGTTTTTTGTTTTCAAATTCACTGAATTAAATGGATTCAGCGAATACGCGTTTGGCAGGAAACTCATATATTCGTTTTTTAAAATTGTTTTCAGATTGTGTGATCCAAACAGTAGAAGTTCTGAAAACAACTTTTTTATGTTTTCATTGTTTTCCTATTAATAATTTAAAATTTTGAAGCTGCAGAATTAAACAAAAGCTTTAATAAATATATTACTTTATATTATAAAATCATTTTATGTTGGTTAAAATTAAAACATGTAAAATATAATCTATTATAAATTATATAACATTGTAAAATAACAATTATACACTATTCATAAAAAAATGTTAATAAATTAATTAATATAAATTTAGATTAAACTAAAATTTAGTTTGCAACTACGTCTAGTTTACAAATATATTACTAAACATATCTCGAATAATTTTTTAAATTGATATTTATTATCAAATCTACTATCAAACATATTTGAAAACACCTAAAACAAAATATACAATTTTGTTTTCAATCCCTTATTTTCAAATTTTTGTTTCTTTTATTACCAACTAAAACGCACCCTAACAATTGTCCTGGATTCCGTGGTTAAACCCAGAACCAGCAAATGGAAAGAGGGTCGGGCCCACGTTGACAAAAACAAAAATAAAAATTAAATCATTTTGAGGAACATATTCGGTGGCGCAACTCTCGCCAGTTGCCAATACGTCGTTTTTATTTTTTTCTTTTCTCTTTTCGTAGGCGTTGAATAATTTTGGCCTAAAATAAATGGAGGTCTTATTCAACTGCCAAACAGAAACAGATGGCGCACGAGCAGGAGCAGCTGCAGCCGCACCCAAATGAATTTCTGAAAACGCAATAAAACAAATAATGGGCGTCCATAGACAGGGCCAGCCGTGACTACAGGCTACAGCTTACCGATCCATGCCTAGTTAGCCCATCAACCACGCTAATACTCTAAAATGCTGTCTAATGCCTCATAAATAAATGTTACTTAAAATAGATTTTAATTTTGTTTTTTTAATAATCTCTAAATTTAAATTTTAAAAATATCTTGTTTATCATCCAGCATTTAATAGATCTTAACTTTTATTTTATTTTATCTTATGCGCTCATTGTTATGTTGGTGTCCTCCAAATTGTAAGGTAGCTGTAGTTATTTTAATTATTCAACTTCGTACTTTTCTTTGAAGGAATTATTTCAATTTTAAAGTTTTTACCTTAATTTCATGTTTAGATCGAAAATCATNATAGTATTTAAAAAATAATTCTACAGTACAACCTATCGAGGAGTTTTATATTTAACTATGTTAAAATTGATAATAATATCCAAATCAAGCATAGCTTGATTGATTGAGATATATATATTTTGTGGAGTTAAAAAGTTGTTAAGTTTTAACATAAATATTTAACTACAAATGTATTACATAAATATTGATAGTCATAATTGCACATAATATTAAAATCCATTTTTTACTTGATAGATTATATAATAATGGATCCTCGAAGTTCAAGAAGTAGCTAGTCCCATAAAAATTCCAAACACCTCATGCATTTTAAAAAATATGATGCATTCGATTGGCAACGAAGAATTTAATTATAAAAAAAATTGTATTTCATGTTTTCAGTCTTTTTAAATATGTAAGATTTATATTTGGTGGGCAATTTGAAAATGAAATTTAAATTTAAAAATTGTTTTTAATAATACAAATTAGTTACCAACTAAATATTTAATTCAATATAAAATAATATTAATTAATTTATTGATATATATGTTATAAATGTGTGCAGAAATATTATTTTATAATATTATATAATCTATAATCTATAATATATTATATATTTTAATATTAAAAATAATGAAATAATATGAAATAGTATATTTATTAAAAATTTTAATTTTTTTAATGTAATTATGCATTTTAAAGTTTCAAATTAAACATTTGAAAATACTTGAAGACATACCAATTTTGGTTTTCAAAATTTTTAATCACATAATTCGAAAACAGTTTTTAAAAATAAATATTCATTGAATCCATTCATTTTACTGAATCTAAAAATAAGAAACATAATTCGGTACTAAATAGTCAATTAATTATAAGCCTATTCAGTCAAAGTTTAATAATAATAATAATAATAGTGATCAACTCAACTCCTCCAACTCATGCAGACCTCAACTTATATTTTAGCCTTATTATTTGACGTTGTTGTTCAAATACATAAATAATTATACGTATTGATAAGCTAGTCGTTTTCTAAACTTTTAATACTTATAAAATATGCAATTCTAGATGTCAAATGTTTACTCCTCACAAATTTATAATAAATTGATTAAAATATTCATATATGATAATAGCGAAAAAAAAAACCTACCTTTTCACGGTTTGTTGTGTGGTAGTTTAATTGATTAACCGTATATTTTTAACTTGGATTAAAAGTCCTACCTTGTTTCTCACCTACCAAGTGCAGTAGGGTAGTAGCCCAGTTTCAAAATACTTTAAAGAGATTTTAAAAGAATTCCAAACACGGCTTGAATTTTAAATAATTAGTTATTGACCTTTCGTAGTCTATCCAACCAAAGTTTAATTGGAAAAAATAAATAAAATTAATGACAGTGGTCACTCCACAAATTGCATGCCCCAACTTATTTGACTTTCTAGTTCTTTTACATCTATATATTATTCGTATGGATAAGTTAGTCAATCTTCCATATTTTAATATCTAGAAAATATGCAATTCCAGGTGTCAAATGTTCCAATCGAATTTATAATTAATAGATAAGGTTTAAAATGTCTATTTAGGATCCTAAACAAAAGCTGTTTTTTCACGGTTTGTTGTGTGGTTAATTCAATTCATTAACCATATATTTTGACTCGGGTTAACAAGTTTTACCTCACCTACCTAATATATTTAGGTTAAATTTGATTGGGTTAATGAGTTAGTTGTTGAGGATAAATCAACCTTACATATTGTTGGATGTAGACTCAAATATCTTCACGTTCCATAATAACTATTGGATATATATTCGAAATACTTTTTTGATCTCACAAATTTTATGATGTAACATTGTCGGTCACATCGTGATAGTTTCATCTAATAATTTCTATTTGAAATGGACTCGTGCAGGTAGCGCAACAGTGTGAATAAAAAATTAGACACATTTTAAAAATTATTGTAAATATCTAAACATATATTATTTAAATTTTATTTTTCAATTTATTCCTTTGTTTTTGGGGTTTCCTTTCTCTTGGGTTAAAAGAGAGGCAAACAAAACTTTAAATTTTCTCCTAAGTTTTGTTGTTTTCTCTCTGGTTAAGTTGCAAGCATTATTACTGTCTGTTGTTTTTTTACCACTTTAACCAAGTATCAACGAAATTACCTTTATTTTCTTCTAAAAAAAAATGAAATTACCGTTACTTTTTCGAGCTTTTTTTCTTTTTTTTTTACCGTATAGTTTCATTACTTTTTGGATCATAATTCCTTAATATATTAAAAGTTTATTATGCTTATTTTGTGACTATTCTCTCAATACCTTATTTAATTACCTTTCACTCTATTACATTTTTGTTCTTAACATAATTTCTTCTGCTTGATATTAAAAAAGGCACTTTTTTAAAAAAAATTATAGATGACTATTTTGCTTATTTATTTATTTTGCACAGAGCAGAAGAATCATTAGTTTAAGGGTTTTGTGGTAGTTGTTGGAAAATGATCGACTTTTTCAGACCATTACACGACATTATTGTTCACGTATTTTAAAATTTTGAAATTGCTAAAGTTGACATATAGTTTAAGTTAGAACAATTTTATTAATTATTTCATCTTGTAACTTTGAAGAAACAAACTCGTATATTTAAAGTAGGTTGAGTTCCAAAAGTTAAGCAATTTTAGGGTTTATTGCTATCTTCTTCCCTAAAAAATACCAACTTTTGATATTTGTATAAACTATTTATCTTCATTTTTGAGATTTTTTTTTATACATTGTAATAGACCATTTGTATACTCTCCTCAAATCATTTATAGTAGTTACGATACCAATATACACCGTTAAACACAATTTTGGAGCCAATCTGAATCTAGTTCAACACAACTAATTAAGACATGTATCATTGATTAAAATGTCATATGTTTGAACCCTCGTATGTTGTTGTGCTAAAAAATTATGAAAAATGAAGTTCAATAAATGATCTAAAAAGCCTACTAAATATTGTAATACAATCAGGCAAAAATATGGGAGATTCAAACTCGTAATTTCTTGATAAAAAACATGTGCCAATTATCGCTGAACTAAACTCACGTTGACCTGGTGTTCGTAACTTCCTCCCAATTTTATTGAAGGATCATGGATCTATATGTTGACATAAGCCCTGAATTAATTTTGGCAAAAAGAAAAGAGTTACTAAAGAACATGAAAAAAAGCAAATTAATTAAAAAAAAAGATTAAAGCGAAAAAGTCATAGAGAATACTTTATTTTCTAGTTTTTTATTTTTATTTTTTCAAAACTTCGAGTGTACGCCAAATAGATGTCAATACTCTAGGCACAAATGAATGAAAAAAATGCCCATAATAACCAAAGCGGCCATATTTTAGCGATAATTGACATACATATCCAATCAAAAAGTAGTGAGTTCGAACCCCACCCCCACATGCTGTATTAAAAAGAAAGGCCAATAATAAAGAGGCAAGAACACCAACAAAAAAGAAATTAGATAAACAACAAAAGAAAATACCAATACAACCTAACAATTTATTTATTGAATAAATGACGAGCAAACTTTACCAATGTCCGGGAGTTAGAATAATCATATTACAATCCTAAACGTTACTCTGAACAATATAGAAAATAATCAAGAGTGGACGAGAAACATCTCATAAATTGTGAAACTACATCTCTAAATATGAGAAGTGGAGCGACTCCAACATACTCGATTTATATATAGATTTCATGAGCACTGTATTAAAAGAAAAAAAAAACTAACATCAATAACAGTGGAAGGAAGCTTAAACTGCGACAAATCTGCATTTAAGTCGAATCAAATAAGTTGAGTGATGATTTTCTGGTAATTGGTTGAAAAAATTAAACAACTTTTTGTTTCCTCTTAGTTTAGAAAATTGATGCAAAGACGTAAGAGTCACATTAGGTATCGACGTGGACAGGTGGTCAAATCAATTAACCAAGAGTTTACGAATTTTATTTTATCATATTCTTTCCATTTCGTAACATGTAAGAATTAAATTATATTTATTTGTCCTCTATAAAAAAAAAACCCCAAAAAAAGGAGAATCATATTCGTCCCCTTTATAAAACAAATGTGTTAAAAAAATATCGCATTCCCAGTTCAAATTTGACGTTCGGTTTTTTATTTTATATAAAAAAAATATATATTACAAAGATTATATATATAGAAAACTTGTGTAATATTTTTTTTCCATAAACGGAAATTCCTCTCCAGTAATATAATTATCTGTTGATATTAAATTAATTAGTAAATAATTTTCAAGGGTCGATATTTTCTCCTCCCATTTTGGGCATGGACATCTTATGTTGTTCAAAATATGAAAAGACAAAAGAAGAATGAGCTGGATGCCAGATCACATATAGCTTGGTTCGGCAATTTTTATTAATTTCTGTTTTTTTAGATATATTAATTTTTCTCTTGTACCTCAAAATTTTAAAATTACATTTATCATCGTTCAGGAAGGATATAACCTATTAGCAGCGATAAAGCGAGTATAGCTCCACAGTTTCTAATTAAGATGTTATGAACTCGATCCCCCACCCTACTCAAAATATAGAATCAAGCAACAAAGTAAAACATATAAACAAAATAAAAGAAAAACAAAAATTGATACAAATATAAAAAGATGGAAATTAAAGATAAATGATGGTTTTTTCTTAACCAAGGTTAAATTCAAGGTTCAAAAAATTAACTTAATTATAATATCTCAATTTGAACGAGTGGACTTAGAAAATAGGAACACTATTTCATATTGATGACGGAGTAATTATTTTTAAATAAAAAATTTGCAAAGAAATAAAAAAGCATGAATGAAAATCCCTAATTTGATGAAATACGACAAATGTGAATAAGAGAAGTTCAAGGCTTCTTCATACACACCTTAATAACCTTTATTATTATTATTATTATTTTTTATCTTTTAGTTTATTTTCTATGCACTAATTAAAAAAACAATTATACTATGTCAATCAAATAATTATTTTTTTTTAGTGTATTTTTTAGATCCAAGACCGTGAGCAGACTCCGACCCGAAAAGAAGAACCCGAAATCCATGTGCTCGCTGGTGACTGCCTCGTGGTGGACGGCTCAACCTCAAAGACATTTTTTAATTTCTGCGGATCGAATTTCATGGCCTTGGCACGATACCAAATGCCAATATTATTTTAAGAATTTTTTTATTTCAACTTTTTCATTTGCTCGGCGATTGTTTCTGCTCTTTCTGGCGTTTTCTTGCTGGCCCGGAATCAGTTTACCCAACTCTACAACTTCGCCTTTTACTCACTAAAAATCTTTCTGTTACTCTGTCCCGCCATTAAACCACAACTGTTCTTCCTCCCCCACAAATTTTCTCCGTTTAATATTTTCCCCCAAATTTTAACTTTCTTACTTCCAGAGATGAACTTGATTATTTTGAGTTTTGCCAGGACAAGGTCAGCTGTCTCAGACTCTCAATCCGCGTTCTTCTAGCCCCCTTTTGACTCTTGAATTTGTTTGATCGTTCTTTTGTTTTTGCTCTGTGCTCTTATTCCATGTAATGGAACCCGTATCTGTCTGCTTTTAAAGCTGTCTTCAACTTCAACCCAGTTTGTGATTTTTAAGATTTTTTTTGTACTTTGCTTCCCTGTTTGCCTCAGATTTGCCTCCTGCAGTGGGATACAACATCTGGGTCTATCACTGTTTGGATCTCTGAGGATAAAGAAGGTGTTCTTTCTCGGTCGTTTTCCTGGGTTCTGACTGAGAAAACATTCTATTAATCATCTTGCATTTGAAACCCTAGTTTCGAAGTCGCTTCGAATCTGGGTCTGTTTCTGTTTCTTTTTCTTGATAAGCTCTATAAACCTGTGGCGATGGATTTTAGGGAAAGGTTTGGATTACTCTTCTGGGTTTTGTTAATTTCGTTGCCGCCTTGCTTTTTAAGTGTGTTTCAACCGGTAGACAATTACCTTGTTGACTGTGGATCGTCTACAAATGTCTCGGTGGGTAGCCGTGTTTTCATGGCCGATAATTTGGGGTCAAAGTTGCTTTCTACTCCGAAAGACATTTTGGCTAATTCGACTTCTATTTCCGCCTCTTCTTCTAACAATTCCTTGCTGTTCGAAACGGCTAGAATCTTCACTGGATTGTCGAAATTCAAGTTTCCAATCAAAAGTACTGGAAGGCACTGGATCCGTCTCTATTTCCTTCCATTTGTGTTCTCTGGATTCAATATGAGTGCTGCAAATTTTAGTGTTTCCACCCAAAACTATGTTCTGTTGCGAGATTTAGTTGTGGAGAAGGACCCTGTGGTCAAAGAATTCTCTGTGAACGTAACATCAGATACCCTTGAAGTTATTTTTGCTCCTGTTAATGGCTCCTTTGCATATCTGAATGCCATTGAAGTCGCTTCTGTTCCTGACATTCTCATTCTCGACGAAGCCAATATTTTAGAACCAGCTGGTAAATTTCAAGGGCTGTCTACTCTGACATATGAGACAGTTGCTAGGGTGAATATGGGTGGCCCAAAAGTTGCTGCTGATAGTGATCCTCTTTCGCGAAATTGGGTTTCAGATGGAAGCTTTCTAGTTAATCCGAATTCTGCCACAAGTTTCTCTAACATTGCAGCTGTTAAATACAGTGATGATGGGGCAGCACCGGAGATTGCTCCCAATGTTGTCTATGGTACACTCACCCAGATGAACTCGAAGGGTGATCCGAACAGCAATTTCAACGTGACTTGGCAGTTTAAAGTGGATCCTGGCTTTCAGTACCTTGTTCGGTTTCACTTCTGTGACATTATGAGTAAATCTCTTCACCAACTTTATTTCAATGTTTACATTGATTCGTGGCTGGTCATTCACGATCTAGATCTTAGTGCTGCTCTTAGTAATAGATTGGGCACTCCATACTATATGGATTCTGTCACAGGATTGATCAAGAATGACATTCTTCATGTGAGTATTGGCCCATCAAATTTAGCTAATGTGTATCCAAATGCCATCCTAAATGGTCTGGAGATCCTGAAAATGAACAACTCTGTCGGTAGTCTTAGTGGGGAAGACTCTGTACTAAGTTTTCCGGACTCTACTTCTTCAAATAAGCATGTTGGTGTCATTGTGGGCGTGAGTGTTGGGGCATTTGTAGCAGCCATATTGGTTGGCATTCTGTTGATGTTGCACAGACGAAAAAGAAAGACGACTCGTCCAGCTCCATCGAAGACATGGATTTCAATATCCACTGCTGGAGGAAATTCACACACTATGGGCAGTAAATACTCGAATGGGACGATCACGAGTGCTGCTTCCAACTATGGGTACCGTATACCTTTTGCAGCAGTTCAAGAGGCTACAAATAACTTTGATGAGAGCTGGGTTATCGGTATTGGTGGGTTTGGGAAAGTATACAAAGGAGTTTTAAACGATGGCACCAAAGTTGCTGTAAAGAGGGGAAATCCACGTTCCCAACAAGGGCTGGCAGAGTTTCAAACTGAAATCGAGATGCTATCGCAGTTCCGCCATCGTCATCTTGTTTCATTGATTGGGTACTGTGACGAGAGGAATGAGATGATATTGATTTATGAGTATATGGAAAATGGTACCCTGAAGAGTCATCTGTATGGTTCTGATTACCCGAGTATGAGCTGGAAGGAGAGACTTGAGGTCTGCATTGGAGCTGCTAGAGGACTTCATTACCTTCACACCGGTTACGCCAAACCAGTCATTCATCGCGACGTGAAGTCTGCGAATATTTTACTTGACGAAAATCTCATGGCAAAGGTTGCCGACTTTGGGCTTTCAAAGACAGGGCCTGAAATAGACCAAACCCATGTCAGTACAGCTGTGAAAGGGAGTTTTGGGTACCTGGATCCTGAATATTTCAGGAGGCAACAATTGACTGAGAAATCAGATGTTTATTCTTTTGGAGTTGTCTTGTTTGAAGTCCTTTGTGCAAGGCCTGTCATAGATCCAACCCTTCCTAGAGAAATGGTGAACTTGGCTGAATGGGCAATGAAATGGCAGAAGAGAGGGCAGCTGGACCAAATCATTGATTCTTCTCTAGTTGGAAAAGTTAGACCAAATTCTCTTAGGAAGTTTGGAGAAACTGCTGAAAAATGCTTGGCTGATTTCGGAGTTGACAGGCCATCTATGGGAGATGTGTTATGGAATTTGGAGTACGCGCTTCAGCTACAAGAAGCTGTCATTGAAGTTGATCCCGAAGATAACAGTACGAATATGATTGGTGAGCTCTCTCCACAAATTAACAATTTCAATGACATCGAGGTGGGTGCTTCTGCCACACGGTTCGACATTCCCGGTGTGGATGATCTTTCTGGAGTCTCCATGAGTAGGGTGTTCTCTCAGCTGGTGAAATCCGAGGGTAGGTGACTCAATCCTCTGTTTGATCCATTCCCCATTACCACTTTTCCAACCCCATGAAAAATAGTAGTGCAGACTGCAGAGTGATGCTTCTTTGTTGAATCGGAGATAGCCTGGAATTGGTCTGTCACAGCTGAATTGGAGGCGTTCTGTATACCTCAGGTGACGATGTAGGCGCATCGTTTCAAAAGAAAATGTTCCTTGCTTCGTTGGATATAAAGAAGACAGTCTCTAGTTGTTTTTTTTTTTTCACATCAAAAAGCCCTTTTTCCCCTTGCAGAGAGGGAGGAACCTTAAAATCAAACAACATTTCAGGATTTCTTCAATGACAAACTACATGTAACATATTGGTGTTCTTTTCTTGTACAGAAGGGGTTGTGCAGGTGAGCCTTTGCAACATCTATTAAGCACGTTACTACTTTAAACTTCCGACTTTTCGACCAGGTAGTTTGCATCTTTGTTAAAGATTGATCGTGATTCGCATCCCCTCATCGCTCGCATTCATTTTAGTCGACATTTCATGTTTGTCTGGAATCATTAGACATATAGTCTTTTAATTCTTTTTAGTTAGCTGATGATCCTGTCAATGACCATGGTGTGTCATTCTTGCCTGAATTTCTTTCTTACTGCCTCTCTCCGTGGGCAGCAGTGTCGAGACTTCGTCGTGTTTAGCTCTAAATCTCTTCATGGAGCAATGTATTTGGCTGTGGTTTCGGTTCATTTTCCATCTGATTGTTGTGTTCTTTGTGAGACCCTGAAATTCTTTTCAACTTTGCAATGAACAGCCATGCATTCTTGTCCTTAAAGTTCCAATGCCTGTTAATTGTTGTTCCTGGTGGTGTATGTTAGTTCTAGGTTCTAGCTTTTCAAGAAATAGTTTGGTTTTAAGATTTTGTTGGACTGCTGGCTTAATTTAATTAAAACATAGGATTTTTCTCATTGAATTCAGATTTCTAGCATGTGAAATATTTATGAGGATGAAGGGATGTTATTAGATATCCCACATAAATGAAGGACCCTAGTTTTAGGGGTTTTTTTGGCAGGTGGTTGGCCGGTATAATTTTTCGCCGTATAATCATTTTGTTTTTTTTTGTTATTTTTTTAAAATTAAGTTTGTAAACACTATTTTTCTGTGCATTTATTTGCTTTGCTATTCCTTCTCAAAAAAGTTTTTGTTTTTGGAATTTGGTAAATAATTCAAATGTGTTTAAATAAAATGTAAAAATATTGTGTGGGAAGGTATGATAATTTTCAAAAAGAATAATAACTTCAGTTGCAAAAAAAAAAAAAAAGAAGAAGAGTATAAGAAACAAGTGACCAAGCATTATTAAATTAATTTTTGTTCAAATAGTAAAATTAAGTTTTAAAATATAAAATTCAACCCATTAGAACATGTCTATTTTTTTTAATACAACATAAGGGGTGTGGGGTTCGAACTCATAATTTTTTGGTCAGAAATATGTGTCTTAACCACTTAGCTATGCTCTGTTTGGCAGAACATGACGATTTTAAAACAAAGCGACCTCGTCATATTTATTAGCTTATGCTTCCAATTGATTGTATTAATATTTTCATAGACAATTTCACAACATTATATTATTAATTCTCACTAATGTTACCGAAATTATAACAATATTATATTCTCATTAATTGTATACTTGTACATTTAATAATTCCAACGGCATGTTGTTATTTTTTTTAATATATGCTTTATTATGGCGTGGAAGTGATAAAGTCTGAGAAGTAAAAGACATGTTTGGCACCCACTTGGGCCACGACCAAATTCTAAAAAGAGAGGGCCACAGACTTGTGGCCAATAGAACAAATCCACTCCATAAATAACCAACCAAACAAGGTCTTATTTTATTGTCCTCCTTACACTTCCCAATATTCAATTTGAGCTCTAAATTTTCTTAAAATCCGCGGTGGATCTGCCGTTTTATTTTTGGATTAGATGCTCATTTGAACTCTGATACTATCTTAATATTTTAATTTTAACACGATGTTGTCATTTTGAACATTTTATTATAAAAAGGGGGAACATATGATATAATTAAAATAGTGTGAAAGGGCAAGGGTTGTAATTGAAAAGTGAATGAATGAGAATGATGGGAGTTGAAAAAAATAATGTGGTGTTATGTTATTAAACTCATGACCAGAAATGATAGCATGGTTGCGTGCAGTGAGGTGCTTAATTACATGCCAGTGAAGGCATGTCCCCACGCACAAGCACAAACCACACACAAACTTCCAACCTCAAAAACACTTCCTTTATACGTACCAAAATCCAAATCCGAGCCAAACAAAATAAAAATATATTATAATTATTTCTCCCCTGAAAATTTCCATACCAGTAAATATATTCTACGATCACAACTTCCATAGCTACGTTGATTTAGTCTTTATAATATATCAACTTCAATTTAAATAATTTTAGTTAACTCCAAGAATTTTGGCAGTTTGCTGTATTTATAAGATTTGTCAATGATATGGTTTTTAATTAAAATTGAAATTGAAAGTTTCTAGACCTAATTGAAACTTTATAAAGTTTTGGTAAAATAATCAAAAGTCATAATTTCTTATATTTTCCAACATGAACTTAGCTAAGAGTAATTGGTACATGGTCGTGAGACAACTGTCTTTGACTAAAAAATCCTGAGTTTGAATCTCCCAATCTTATTCCAACTCCTATCTGTTGTAAAAAAGAAAAAAAAAACTCAATATTTACAATGGACCTCCAAATACGGTTGGTTCATGTGGATCAGCTCGAGTGTTCAGTCATGGTCGAGTCAACCGAACCTATTATGGTAATCTCATCCCTAACATGTAAATTTAATATTTCTAATATATTCTTAGATCTTAAAAATCTGTACTCCATTGACTCATTCATGCGATATTCAAAATTTAATTTCCTTTTCTGTTGTCTTCTTTCATTTTCCCTCGTCGGATAGTGACTTATCTTTGTGTCTGTATTAGGGAAAAAGAAGAGTGCGGCCGAATCAAATTTTGTCCAAATTTACACTTACGCCCACCATATTGCCTTCTGCCAACCACACTACTTTTTTCTATGTAACCACCTGTTTGTCTCACTACAAAAATAATTATTCTGAAGGAATCTTCTATGAGATTCAAATTTCAAATGCTAAACCTTCCTAATTTTTGCTTAAATCTTATAAACGCAAACAAATAAACAAACTCATATATTATTCCATATTTGCTAGATGTGATTTAAAGGAAAATATGATCCAAATTTACATTATATCGTTATTGCAGCTGATCCTTCATATATGTATATATATTTTTTTCAACATGGAAATTATAAATAAAAAAATACTCTCTAATTTACATATATTTGTCCGTACACCTTGGATTTCATTGAGAAGCAAAAAGCGAACCAGAAAAGGAAAAAAAAAAAGACGAAAACTAAAATTGCTAAGGGAACTCTCGCACATTATCGGCCACATCGACTTTGGCGGTGCACGATAGCAACCGGCGGAAGACGGACGTGAAGGCGGCGCACGATAGCTCCTTCGCCTTCTTCAGCGCGGAGCATTTCCTGATCTTCTCGGCGTCGTCGCCGTCCTCCGCCGCCTTCTTCTTTCTCCGGCGAGAAAGTTTTTTCTGTCTCATTCCGAGTTTGGCGAAGCACTTGTTCGTCTTCTCCGGCACGTCGTCGTCGTCTCTGGAGAAGGTGTAGCTCCGGAGGTACATCTGGCGGCAGTAGATGCTGTCGACGACTCGCGACGCTCGATTTACTTTGGAGCTGACGGATCGGATGAACTCGGCGTCGGATTCCGGCCAGTTGTAGAGGTTTCTGTAGGTCGGCCGGACGGGGACGGGGAGGCGAGCGTCGTTGATGCAGTTTGAGATGCAAACAGAGGCCATGGCGGATTTGGGGAAGACGAGTGGGGAGCGGTACAGAGGCAAGGGATCGGGAAATTGGTTACGGTTTATTTATAGGTACAGAGTATGTGAAAGCGAAAAAAGGAAAAAAAACGGATCGGTTTTGCGCTACGATTCGGCATGATTTGGTGGTCCCTTAAATGTATTTTCCTCGTTAATTTTTTTTTCTTTGTTCATGAAATGAAAATAATATTTTTTTTCTTTAATGTTAATTTCAATTTCCTCCTCATGTTTAAAATAATTAAATTTCGGTTTGGCACCTTAATTTATAAAAGGTCTATTTTATCCTTAAAATTTTAAGATAGGTTATGTTTTGATTCATGCACTTTTAAAATGTCTATTTTAGTTTATCGATTTTCTAAAGATATTTTTGTTGATCTCTATTGTTCGTGCATAGATTCGGTCTATCCGAGCAAAGCGACTTATCCATTTCGATAGGGGAGTATCTAAGCGGAAATTTTGTTTAAGCTTAAGTCATTATGAAATTTGATAGTGATGAGTAGTGTATCTTATAAGGAATTCGAACCTACTGGACTGGTGAGACCCTCTACCCTTTTTAGGCTATCACATGTGAATGGATTTAGTATGAGATTTCAGCCTTTTTATCTTGGGATGGACTAGCCTGGCGACGACATTGACTGGGCTCGGTCAATCTCATCGTTATTGTGCACTAACGACGAGAGCAGCCTAGCGAAGTCGGGCTAATTCGTTGCTCCTCAACAAATCCGATAATGCCAGGTCTGCCTATTCCTTGTATGTCCGACACGTGGCGAGCCAATTTTCTCCACCATAACATCTACATTCATTTTTCTTCCAACAAATGTATAAATGTGGTTTTGAGTATGTGTACAGATGTTTTGAAGGGGTACGTATTGATGCTATATAGGTTAGTTGAAACTTGAGAGAAATATTGGATGAACGGATGTTAAGTCCAAACTGAATATACTCCAACTAGTTAAGACACCTATTTCTAATCAAATAGTCATGAGTTCGAATAAAAAAAGAAGAAATTAGTTTAGAGATTAAAATATAATAAATTTAAAAGCGTTTATTTTGTAGGTGGGGTGATCCAAACTGAGTCTAAGACTTTAAAATATTAGAAAACTTGAAATTTCAAGATATCGACAAGTTTAAATCGTTAAAGTATTCAAACCATACAACAAGATAAATTATTATAAGATACTTTCCTTAAAAAATATAAAAAATAGTTTAGAATGTTTGGATAAATATGAGAAATAGGAGTGAGGCAACATTATATTAAAAGTTCAGATATGAAAATCATATTTAAATCTTTAAGATATTAAAACCATATAACAAAATAAATGATTATAAAATACTTTAAATATATAAATAGGCGAAAATGTCTGACCAAATTAAATTTATAAGATATTAAATCTTAGTTTAAATGGCTACCATGCCATTTCCTATTAACCCTTTAACTATTTACATTGACTGTTGCATATCCATGATAGTTATAATTTAGTCGAAACTTATGTGAATAATATACTATGATAAGTCTTTATTTTTATATTTACATGGTGTCATTTTATTTTATTTATTACAAGACTATTACTTTCGTAACATAACTCAACTAGTTAAAACACATTCATTTCTAATTAAAAAGTTGGGAGTTCGAACTTCTAACCTCATCTCATATATTGTGCTAAAAAAAAATAAGATTGTAACAATAAAGATTTATATTCAAATTAAAAATCAAGTAAATGGAGATGCAGCTATCTATTATCAAATTGGGATTTTCCCACTCATATGAAAACTCTTTTTAAACAAGCAATAAATTATGGATGAAATTCTCATGGATAGCGAGATAAAAACACAAATTGGTTTCTAACTATAGCATAATGAATTTAAGTATGTTTATAAACACACAAAATAAACTAATATAATTTAGAAATCTTTTCATATTAATGTTTGATATTTTAGTCATAATGTTTTCATATTTTCTCAATTTAGTTTCTATTTATTTAAAATATTTCAATCTAATTGCACACTATTGGTTAATGTTAAAACATAGTGCTTAAGAACGGGTAGAAATTTGGAAGAGAGAAAAGTCAAAGTTTCCAACTCTTCTCCCATTTTATTTAAATAAGTAAAAAATTCGAATTTTTATTATTTCTTTTTACAAACGAGTTTTCTTAGATAACCTTTTTTATTTAGGAAACAACTTAAAAGGGAATGAATTCAAATCATGGTGGCCACCTATCTATGATTTAATATCCTACCAATTTCTTTGTCAACCAAATATAATAAGGCCAGACGATTGGTCCGTGAATAGTCGAGGTGCGCGCAAGCTGGTCCAGACACACAAATATAAAAAAAAAGATAACCTTTTTGTCTTCTAATCTCTATTAATTCACTAAGTATGACTAGTCATGTAAATTATCATTGCCTAATTTCAATATTCTTCAATACGGAGGGATTAAATTAAATTTTATTTAAATAATTGAGACTAAATTGAAAAATAATCCGAACCGTAGGAACTAAAATATATAATTAGCCTAATCTTTTTGTAATTAGCTTTTAATAATAACAATTTCAAAACTTAAAGAAAAAAACCATCATCATAAACAAATTTAGCCAAATCATTTACATAAATTAAAGTAATTATATCATCATATAAATATAATCCAGAAATCATATAAAATGTAACAGATTAAATAAATGATCTCCCTTCTCCAAGATATTTGAATATATATATATATATATATATATATATATATTAATTTATAAATGAATTATGCTACTTAGAGTAAAGTTGCCAACATTTTAAGCAAAGTTAAATGAACAACACTCATTGCATCAGAATGGTGCGTAATCATGGCAGTCCAAGCTGCTCCCACAGCTCTGCCTCTCTCTCCTCTTCTTCAATAATACTTACAAATTATACAATTTTCACCTTTCATTGCTTTGCTTCTATGAAACCTCCCAATCAAACTCTTACCAAAGTAGCTTCTCTGATATCCATCCCAATTCGAATTGCGATCTTCCCATCATTTTATTATGGCGTTCTTATAACGAAACAATCGGGGTAAACTAAACTTGTATTTGGTTCAAAATTTAGACTTCTGTTTGATTTTTTATAGTCGAGCCAAGTGGTGTTTGTTGAACTATTGAAAAATATATAAATTAAAGTCATCGACTCACGAGTGAATGAAATTGAAAACGTAAATTGATAGCACAATCAATTTGATCTTAGTTTAACAAATTGGAAAGGAAGATTCTAGTGATGAGATATAGCACGGAGGAGATTTGTGAAAACTTCTCAGAAGTAAAGTTTCTTAGGGGCTAACTTTATGTTGCATTCGGAGCAATCTTTACGTAGTAATACTAATAATTAGTTCAATTCCCATTTTAATAATTGGATGACATAATGGATATTTAAAATTTAAATATATATGAGGTAGAGATTCAGACTCAAGACTTTTTAATTGAAAATAGGTAGTTTAATCGATTTAAAATTTTTTTTGGTGGGAATTTTGGGTCGGCATTTTGTTGCTAATGGATCTCCGAGCCCAATCAATAGAGATTGAGTCCTCTATTTGGGCTTAAAACATGGGCCCATAGTGGTGGTAATATTTGGGTTGGCCCTGTACTTGCTGGATTTCTCCGAGCCCAACATCAGGTATAGTGTCCTCTTTTTGGGCTGAATTTTGAAGTGCGGGCCCATACATCGGCCCAATTCGGAGTCTCCGACACCGAGTTCCGAGTTTTGTTGTCACCGTTAAACCCTCGGTCTATCTTCTTCTTGCTTCTCAGAGAGCCTTACGAAGTTTAAGTCTCCTGCCTGCTTAAACCCTGTTCTTCAGTTCAAAGCTTTTTTCGCCATAGCCATGGGTTTCTTCGACCTCAATATACCTTACGACGAGCATTCATCCTCACCTTCCAGTAGGGCTAATCGCATCAGGATTGTGGCGAAACTCATGGAGCTTGGCTACTCTGGTATCGCCTACAACCGTACGATCAAAGGAGTGATGTCCGATCAGGACCGCTGTTCTATCCCCCTCCTCAACGCCTCATCGCTCCACAATATCCTTCCATCATTCTCTGCCTCCGTAGAGTTCCACCGCGAAATCCTCGGCGTCCCGCGCTCCTCTCCTTTCCGCCAGTATACGCGTCTTACTATTTGTCTGAACAGTTTGCCGGAGGTTCTGGCCGTCAATTCTGGCAACATTCTTCTGAAGACCTACGATTTGATTGCTGTGAAGCCTCTTAATCAGCATGCTTTCGAGCAGGCTTGCGAGAAATTGGAGGTTTGTCTGTGTATATGTTTTGTTTGGTTGCTGTAAAATCTAGCAATCGTTTGGATTATTCAATGATCTTATTTGGCGTTGAGAGAGATTAGTACTTGCATAAGTTAGGTAGTATGTTTGCTTTTTTCTAATTATAAGTTATTATACTTGCATTGATTTCACAATTTTGTCATATTAACTGTGTTTTTCATCACGTAGATAGATATAATTGCCATTGATTTTGCGGAGAAACTTCCTTTCAGGTTGAAGCAAGGTCTGATTAAATCTGCAATTCAGGTTTGTCAATCATTAACTCTCGTGTTCTGATTTACTTGAATTCTTATGGTCATAAATAAATGCATCATACTATTGGTCAGTGGCGATTGATATCTAACTTCTGACAATTTTCTTTTTTTCATGCAGCGTGGAGTTTACTTTGAACTTATGTACTCTGATCTTCTTTTGGATGTTCATGAAAGGAGGCAAATGATATCCACTGCTAAGGTGAGATGAAAGTTTGTACGGCATATTACTGCCTCGTGGGATCCCAAATTTATTTTTATGTGACGATCACGATTGCTCCTTATTGTTGAATATGCACTATTGTTCTAGTTCGTTCCTAGGAATTATGTCCTGAAAGTTAGTTAGCTGACAAAGGTCTATCTCTGGACTGCCTATGTTGTTACTTGCTTTATTAATGTCGATTTTCTTATGCAAAAGTACACTTTTTTTCTCCATTTGAAGTCGTTAAAATATTGTAGTGGACCAGTGGTCTGCTAGAAGCAGTATGCTCTGGGTATTTGTATTATACTTGGTGTTATTTTCATAATACATCGTTTTTGTTACATATGGAGTTGGAGCTACATTTATTTCTTATTGCGATGAGCTAGTCTTATCATCTGAGCTTTAGCCTGTTGAACTTTCAGTTGTTGGTGGATTGGACAAAAGGAAAAAATCTCATATTATCCAGTGCTGCCTCCTCTGTCAATGAAATCAGAGGGCCTTACGATGTTGCAAACTTGTCATCATTGCTTGGTGTCTCTATGGAAAGGGCAAAAGCTGCAGTCTCAAAAAATTGTAGGTATGAGTGCCTTGAAAAGTTAATAAAAAGAAGCCCTGTAATTTGCAAAAGGTACCAATTGATGTTTATGTGTTCTTCATATGTACTGCATTTCAGGAATCTTATAGCTAATGCTCTCAAGAGAAAGCAGTTCTACAAGGAGACAATTCGAGTTGAAAGGATATCATCAAATGATAAATTAGATCCAAACGACCCTTGGTCAGTGGATTTGTTCAAATGGGATCCTATAGCAAGTGGTGAGGGTGATTTGCTATTGGATGATATGGCTAAATCTTTTGCTGCCTCTAATAAAGAATCAAAAAATGTGAAAGCCATTGACTTCACTTCAGTCATTGATAACATGCCACCGCAAGGTTTTCTAGTCAAGAATGTAATTTCAGACTCTGAAGTAAGACTGTCACTGAATGATAACAGAGACTCGTCGCATGTTGCTGATGTCATTGAGCCACCAGTTGCAGAAAATGGAGTAATACAGCAGTCCCATCCTCTTGATGGAGAACACTGTTCTATATCATCAGATTGTCGATTTTCTGTAATTGAAAGCTTTGAAATTTTACCTTCACATGGTGATGCAGGAAAACTTTCAAGTAATTCTGAGGAAGAGAAAAGTACCGTTGAAGAAATTGTGCAGCCCAAAACCTCCATGCAGGAAGAACCAATTGAAATGGAGATTGATAACGTGCAACCGCAAAACCTTTTGTCTAGTAGCGAGTTAAATGTAGCAACGACAGATGAGCTTGCACATTCTCCTACATCTACCAGAGATGTATTAGCTGTTGTTTCCGGCAATGATGGAGAAGAAACTTTTAAAATGCCAGAGGATGTTGATTCCCATCAGAATAAGTATGCTTTAGAAAGCTCTGATATATTGTCTGGTTCAGAAAATATGTTGAGGGACCAAAGTTTGAGTAATTTGGTTTCAGAAAATCAAAAGAATATGTCTACGGTAATTGATGATACATTTACAGCTGAAGAATGTTTACTTGGTACAAGACTCGGGGAACCCGAGGATCAGGTTTCTTCTCTTGGGTCTTGTTCCATGAGCGACATAAAAGATGATTATTTAATCTCAACTCGACAACAACAAATCTCTCAGGTGTTAACGGAAGAGCAAAAATGCGAAGAAGCAGATCCTCAGATCACACGGTTTTCTTCAGATCAGCCTTTGTCTGGTGTGATGTCAACAGGTACATGGAAGCTTGTTTATTTGTGACTGTTGTCCTCCATCTTCAGCTTTTATTCTTTTGATTTGAATACTTGAATTTATTTTCTTTAAACTTCCATTCATATTAAAAGGTGTTAATGTTAAGATTTACGTTTACCCCGCATAAAAAATTTAGACGTATAATACAACCATCAAGCTCACTTCTTCAATTTAACTTCACAGATTATTATCACTCTTTCCTGTATACTAATTTTTTTGTTCTGAAGACTTTTAGCTGGGGACAAACCAACTGAAACCTCAATTTTTATTGAACTTTATTATGTATTCATAGTTAACCATGAAAATTTGAGTCAAGTTTTCATCAAGTGCCTGATTTTCTGTTTCAAAACTAGTAAATGCAGGGAAAAACCGAGCAAAACGGAGGAGACAGCATCCAGCATTAAAGCTTCCATTCAAGCGGTTAATCAATCCTTTAGCCTTCAAGAAGGTCCGAAAAATTAAATGCTATCAGTAATCTTTTCTTTGGTTTTACTCGGTTGGTATTATTCACTTTTGTTTACTACACTTCGGTATACATTTTGCTCCAATTGATGTCAATGAATTTTTTATTGCTATCGAATGTCAAAATGTTCCCCCTCTCTCTCTACTTTCAAAAAAATAGATGATCGTCTGTGTTGGGGTTGGGCTTATTTCAGCACCAAAATTACCTAATAAATTTCCATCGAAATTCACCCTCTTCCCATTTCGGGTTATTACTTTTTTAGTATTACAGAGGGAAGAGAACAGAATGCCGTAGGGTTCAAATCTCCTTTAATTATCCTACGTAGAGTATAAGCAATTTTATCTTTCTTTTTACTTTTTGTTTTTGTTAGAGAAGAAATACAGATATAAATTTTAAGCTCATAATAACAAAAAGAAAAAAGTACTTTTAGGTGGAGTGCTTCTATTAGACACACATAATAATTAATTTAATAGCTTTTATCCCTAAGTCTTGTACCATTTATGTTAGTGAGAGAAGTTTGAGCTCATCATTCAGTCACATGAACAACCAACCAATTGGCCCACCGTGATCCAACTGTAGACTTTTTATTTTTATTTATTTTATGAAATCAATCCCGTATCTCTATAATTGAAATTTGTTGTCTGCGTTAAGCAACACTTTGGCTAGCACAGGACTTAAATGTAAGATCTCATGGTAGGTGATATCACAAGTTCTCATATTCTTACTATACCGAGGCAAAAGTTTGGATAACTAGTACTTTTAGGTACACTTTTGAAGAAAATCAGATTACCAGATTACATGTGCATAGTTAAAAGAGTAACCAGTACCTTTAGGTACACTTTTGAAGAAAACCCAATTAAGTGCTATGCTTTTAAGTACTTTTAATCACTTGAAAACATTCTCTATTCTCTAAAGTTATGTTTAGATATTGAGAAATCAATGTAATTTATGCAGGGGAATGTGTGCTGAATAAGCTAGCTAA